CATGATGGAAGGAGTCAAGCTGGTGGGCAAACACGATACACCGCCCTGTTATCCAGCCATGCTGAAACCTGCATCCATGGTGGCTGAGGACCTGGAGGCGTCTTCGGTCTGGCGCCGCCGTGCCATTGTGGGGAAGGCTACACCGGCTGACCCTGAGCATATAGCTCATCTTGAAGCTACGGCGGCTGAAGAGCTACAGCTTGGATTTGTGGAAGGGCCTTTTCTAAATGAGGAGGCCGTTACGGCCCATCTTGGTAGAAGCGACTGGTGTGTGGTGCGCCGCTTTGTCTTGGTGCAGGGGGCTGAGTTAAAACTCCGTCCTATTGACGATTGTTTGGAGGCGCAACTGAACCATGCGTATTCGGTGACAGCCTACTTGAAACTTCAGGATGTTGACTACATCACTGGGTTGGCTCTGGCCATAGCCAGGCGGATTTCGGCTGGACCCTCTGGACCTGGTGCAGAGCCCTGGTGGGGCAAGTGTCTGGATCTTAGCAAGGCCTACAAACAGATGGCCATCCATCCCTCCAACCGCCACCTGGCAGTTATTTTCTTTCACGACCAGAGCGGGGCACCGAAATACTTTGTCGCAAACTCGATGATGTTTGGTTCGACAGCTGCAGTTTACAGCTTCAATCGAGTGTCCCGCAGCCTGTGGTACCTCATGAACAAACTTTTGGTAATCCCTTGCGGAGTTTTCTATGATGATTTCCCGACGTTTTCTCCAGCCTCTTTGGCGGAAGACGCAGACAACTCGGCCAGCCAACTGCTGGACCTTCTTGGATGGAAACATGCAAAGACTGGAACGAAGGGTTGCCCTTTCCAGCCCTGCTTCCAGGTTTTGGGATTCTCTTTGAACCTTGGTGATATTTGCCAAGGGTTCATTACCTTGGAAAACAAACCTGGCCGCATCGACAGGCTGGTGACGCTGCTGAGACAAATCCAGAAGGAGGGAACGCTCTCTCGCCATCAGGGGCAGATCCTCCATGGGTTGATGCGGTATGCTTGTGGTTTCTTCAGTGGGAAATACCTTCACCAAGTTTGCGCAGAGGCTATGGCCTTGAGCAGCAGTTCGGTTCCGAAAGGGGCGGGACAAGTGGCCTCTTTTTGTGAGTATGCCATACGTATGTTGCAGACTGCCTTGCCCCGCCGTATCGATGCTGCTCCGGAAGTTCGCCCTGTTTTGATTTTCACTGATGGTTGTTGGGAAGCAGAGCATGCGGGCATTGGAGCAGTCATTTTGGATATGGCTACCGGTGAGGGGCTAGTTTGTCAAGGAGCTGTGCCGGCGACCTTGCTGGCCAAGTGGAAAACTCTGGTCGGTGACCACTTAATTTGTCAGATTGAGCTGTATGTGATGGTTTTGATACGCTGGCAATTCCAGTCACTTTTAAAGCACCGCCGTTCAATCTGGTGGGTGGATAATGATGCCGCCCGATTCTGCTCCATAAAAGGGTTGAGTCCCAGCCCAACCATGCGGGATATGATCCGTGAGTTTTATTCCATGGACTCGCTGGCACCCACCTATAGTTGGATTGAGAGAGTTCCCAGCAAATCCAACATCTCTGATGGCCCTTCCAGGGGCGCTTGCCGAGAAGCTCTGGATCTCCTTGGAATCCAGCAGGTAACTGAGTTTGAGCACCCTGCTGAACTTCTTCGACGCCTTGCCTAGCTGTCCTGTGATGAATGGGGGGAAAGGTACAGTCCAGCTGGATATCCATCCCTTGTCTGGTCTCCTTTAAAAAAACCAAAGCTTGATACCAGAATGGACGATACCCAACCTGAAGGGTTGCCCGTGCAGTCACATCGAAACAAATCGAACAATTACCCCGGACAAGCATAGGCTTCGAAAGGGAAAAAGGTGAGGTGCGCCAGTGAAATCATTCGTTGTGCAATTTTCAGTTTTTGTGACAGTGCATTTATTTACTGAAGCTGCATTCAGTTTTTCCAGTTCGTTTGTGTGACATGTTTTTGAGGTTTTTGGATTTTTTTGGCGTTGTTTAATTTGGGTTCCTTTATGTTTGGGAAGCGTAGACGAAACGTTAGGGCGTATCGCGTACCGAGATATATATACAGACTTTGGGTCGGTATAGGAGAAGGGATTTTCAGCTTGCTGACAATACTTTCTCTCTAACCTCCCAAACAGGACTTGCAGTCCGGTCTGTAAAATATCTTTGTAGTTGCGTTATGCGTCCCTAACTGTGCGTCAAATGCTTAAACCCAGCGCCTGCTAAACCACAACGCCAAACACAACATCTTAAACCTCAACCTAAACAATGTCAAAACCACAAATCTGTTTCTATTTTTACATGTCGTTTCCAGTGATGTCTCACAGTACATGTGAAACATGTATCTGTTTTATGTTGAAAGTGTTTATCAATTTTATGTTCGTGTGGCTGTCCCTGCTTAAGGGTGTGGTGGGCGGGTGCGTCCTTTTTACATGCCATGGACAATTTCTGTCCCACCCAAACGTTGTTACCCACCCGAAATTGTCTTTTAGGGGGAAAAGGTACAGTCCAGCTGGATATCCATCCCTTGTCTGGTCTCCTTTAAAAAAACCAAAGCTTGATACCAGAATGGACGATACCCAACCTGAAGGGTTGCCCGTGCAGTCACATCGAAACAAATCGAACAATTACCCCGGACAAGCATAGGCTTCGAAAGGGAAAAAGGTGAGGTGCGCCAGTGAAATCATTCGTTGTGCAATTTTCAGTTTTTGTGACAGTCCATTTATTTACTGAAGCTGCATTCAGTTTTTCCAGTTCGTTTGTGTGACATGTTTTTGAGGTTTTTGGATTTTTTTGGCGTTGTTTAATTTGGGTTCCTTTATGTTTGGGAAGCGTAGACGAAACGTTAGGGCGTATCGCGTACCGAGATATATATACAGACTTTGGGTCGGTATAGGAGAATGTAAATACCCTACCGAAACTGATATTTGCATTGGTTTGTCTGACAATGGGGTACCTCAAAACTTGTTGTTTTCATGGGGAAATAGAATTATGATCCCATGGGTTTAGTGGGTGTTCCTTTCCCATTTTCCAATGTCAATGTATACAGGTAACCCTCAATTTATTTCTGGGGTCAGTATTGGTGGGCCTGGGTACTTTAGAATTGGCGGAAATAAGATGGAAATAAGGCCTTATTGCCGAAAACAAGACAAAAGTTTATTCCCGCCTTATTTCTGAGGCTTTGGTTCCAGAAATAAGGTCGTATAGGGTTTCGGAAATAAGACCGTTTACGGCCTTATTTCAGCACTATTTCTTATTTCAATGCTATTCCTGGCTTAATTCCTTATTCCAGTCTTATTGCTGCCTTATTCAGGCCTTATTACTTTCGCAATTTTCTGGGGGGGGGGGCTTGTGGGGGGTACGCTAGAATTCTGTGATTTAACGAAGCTTTGTTAGTTTGTATACGTTTATTTAGATATCGATATAACTTAGAAACTTCCACCACCAAGATCTGTTTAGTTGAACTTGGACCTGGTTTATGGAGGAATAAGGTGTCACTCTTTTGAAAAAAGATGAAAGCATTGTTCCTCGAAAAAAATGTGAGGTATCACAAATAAGGTCCTCGACTTTAAACTGTCTTGTGGTGAAAGAATCTATTCTGAAAACAGCCACTGAAACATTGTTGTTACACTCAAGTTTAACAACAAATAACTCTTGACCGCTTTTGTTTTCTAAACAAACAATCAACACTGAAACACACGTCAGTGGTGGTCATGTTGATATTAATTTTTTGCTGTTGCATTACCCATCAAGTGGTGGGAGGGAGGGACCCCTTTTTATAAGGGAAATTTTCGAGCACCCACCCCGTTACACTCCCACCCTGAATGGGAATCAACGGGTGCACTGACTTTGAAGAAACATGAATCACTGAGTCGAAGTTCAAACATGGATAGGCAGCATGAACCTATCCGGCACCACTCATTTGAAGCTGGAATCACGGCCAGCATCTCGAAACTTCCCCGACAGTGCAGACCTGGAGGATAAAAAGGGACGCTTTGAATCACAGCTGCTTCACCTTTCGTTTGCATTCATGTCCAAATTTTTTCGAAGCGGATCGAAACCTTTTCATCATTTTCAATTTGAGGATGTTTAACGAAGCACGACGAAGGAGAATGCGGAATCACGTGGCGCGTATTTCTTTGTTAGTTTGTATACGTTTATTTAGATATCGATATATAAACCTCATTAGCCTTTACCGTATTCTACTTAGAAACTTCCACCACCAAGATCTGTTTAGTTTAAACTTGGACCTGGTTTATGGAGGAATAAATCATTGAAATGCTCACACTTCACGGCACAAGTCTGCAAAAATGTTCATCCATCACAGTGTTGCTTTCACCCTTCGACTCAACCGCTTGTGATGTAAGGCCCTAGCACTTTTGCTGCCCACGCCACCATTGATCGTGTCATTACAATTCCACTGAGCTTTCCAGCGCTTGGAAGTGACGTGAATGCAACACCACTTCTCACAATGCATACAACAAAAATTGAAAAACATGTTTGTTGGTTTCATCAGTTCTTCAACGTCAGATTTCAAGCTGTGCTCACACGGCCTGGCATCTAAGTCCCACCACTCTTCGGTGTTGGTACCGCCGCAACTGCAAGAGGTGGGGCATCAACAAGGTTCACTCACAACATTGTTGAAAAGAACTGACAAACCATGAAAAAAATGCAACGACCCTGCAGTTTCAAAAATCTGTCACCATGACTCCTAATGCATCCACTGACTTCTGATTCCCTTGCAAACGTTTGAGGCCAGAGCACCAACCGTTCCGCTCACGTCACAGAAGATGTTACAAATCGAGCACAAGGTGGTGTGTACGGCAGCTGCCAAGGCTTACAAACATCTTGTGCAAACTGTCAAAGAGACGACATGTCAGTTCATGTGCATTGCAAAACTAATTGGGCCATAAAGCCGCTATCATGGTGACATCACTGCATAACACGCTGAAAAAAATGAGGAATAGAACAGGCCGATCAAAACAGTTGCACTCTGAGGTCCAAGCCATTTTTCGAGATGCGTCCAACAGATGCACAAAGTTCCAAGACAAATTTGAGCCATCACTCAAGACAGACTGACCTATGTCACAAGGCAAAGCTAAATCTGCCAAGTTCAGTCTGACGTCGCTTGGTGTCGCCTGGCCTGCTTAGGGCCTGACGCTTCTGGTGAACTGTGCTCCATCCCTGGACGAGTACAATTTGGCAACAAGAAAAAAAAACCACTCAAGGTTGCCAACTGCTGGAACACGTTCAGCAAGTTCAGACCGCAACACCAGAAAAACATCTCGTGCACTTATACGGCATGAAGTTTGCAACATCTGTCACTTGTTCAAAATTTCTAGTCGCAATCTTGCCACACTTCAGGACTACTGGGTGACCATCATCATCATCAATTTGTGACGGCTTTGCAACATGGCAGCAACCACTCTTGATGTGTCGAAAAACATCAAGGTCCCCTACCGAGTAGTGCAGCTCACTCGCAACTGAGGCCCCAACAATTGGTGCAGCTACTTCTGCATCCCTATCTTCATCAGAAGTCTGACAACCAGACTCAAACAGTTCATGATCGCCTTCACTCACGCTAGATAAAGACACATCACCGTCAGAGCCACAAACATCCCAGCCGTCATGAACTGGGGACTCAGGTTCATACTCATCGAGAAAATCTCTCTGAGGCACATGTGACTGTTTCGAAAGGAAAATCATGGCATCTTGGAGGCTACTGACATGAGGCACCGACCACCTTCGCGACCTAGCCACATCAGGATTGAAAATGTGCTCCCTGATAATGAGCATGATGCCATCAATCGCATGCAGCACCGGTGCTTGAGCATCCCGAGAGTAATGCAGATTTGGATCCTGGGTCCGCATGATAGCCAGCCAATCGTCTGATCTCCTCCGAGCAGCTGCACTTGGCCATCCAGCTGAGGATCGTCGCTTTCAATGAGTGCGTTGCAATGTCACCTACATCACATCCAGGTCTGAGCTTCGAAAAGATTTCCCTGATCCATGTTGTTGCTTGGGAAGGCTCCAGTGGTACTTGGCCCCACGTTCCACCTGCCAATGGCACTGACATAGTCGGGATTCCAGGCCCAGCCCTGAGCCCCTGCAATTCACGTTGATGGAGCCACGGTGAAGCCCAATCGCCCATCAACCCTGGCAGACAACAAGCCATAGGGAGAAGCCTCCTGGATTGCTTCTGCCTCCCAGCTGTCTTGTGGTGGTAAAGCTCTCCCTCCAAAAAACCAGAGTCGTTGTGAAGATCAGTATAAGGTTCATACTGGCAGTATTGACCATCAGACCATCTGAGCCTTGCATGCAGGACCAAACAAACATATCCAGCAAAGATGGCCTCCTGCCCATTGCCAGTCATCGCAATGTTCTCATTGCAGCCACCTGCCAGGTCTCCAACGGCACCTTCTTCTTGGGAGGCACCATGGGCGTGATGACAGCACCCCTGAGCCTTGGAGAGTGCAGACACAGCCCAACGTCAGCTCCAAGCATGTGATGTGCAAAAGTCAAACTTTCCAGGAACCTGGTCAGTTTGGTTCTCGGTGCATTCAACTGACGTAGCTCCAGCACATACCTGTAAGCCTGATCCTCTGTAACAGGGAAAATCTTGGCATCATCGTTCATCGCCTTCTTCCATCTTGCAAAAGCCATGAGAGAAGATGCTCTTGACCGCAAAGTTGAAACAGATTTCCCAGCAAAAGAATCACGAATGACCTGCTCCACCGTCATGTCAGTCACTGTGCCATCCAAAATTGTCTTAATCTGACGCACCAAGACTGAAGATTCCAAATCATCAGAAACGATAATCCTCCAGTTCTCGAGGGCCCTTGATAAGGATCGTTCTTGCGCTACTGGCCAAGGAATCACTGATGTCACCCTAGACCATGTCACCTTTCCAGCTACTTCTTTCTGGTCAAATGTAACATGAAGATCAGCATCGCCCTGTAAAGGAACAAACTTAGGGGCATCCACCAATCTTTGTCGCTTTCCAAAAATAGGTTTGAGACAAGGCTGCCCCCAGGGCAAAACAATGGTCGATCGCTTGACTCCCAGCCAATAGCTCTCAGCCATCAAGAGAATGTCCATGGCTCTACACGCCTCACCGCACACAAACAGGAGAAAGGCGATGGCCACCTTAGACCACCCCATTTCAAAAACTTCCAGGCGGTGAGAACGTTGTCCCACCCACCCTCCCTTGAAATAAAAAAGGATGGAATAACAAAGAACATGATTCACCGCTTCCACGAAAACATGTGATTCCATTTAAAACTTGAGTTTCAACATTCCACCTCAGGAATTTGAAAAACCAGTTTTGTTTAAACAAATTGTTTACCTTTTTTCTCACGTTGCCACAGTTTGTGAGACCCTCACAGAAGAGAGACACAGATGCTCAGGGCAAGACCGCGTAAGGAAGGCCGCGAGGAGAAGACACCAGAAAGGTAAACAACAAACGGCACGAACGCAAGGAAGAGGGACTTGAGGACGGCAGCTCCCTTCCTTTGAACCAGTTTAAGATAAAGGCGTATCACGAAAGTGAGTCGCAGCTTGTTCGCTCATGAGGCACGCAGCTGCCTTGGCCACGCCCGAAACTGAGTGCCTGCTATATGCAACATATTGGTTCCGGCCAATCCTGTCAGAACTCATAGGAGCAGCTACGGAAACGGCCACGATCAATCGAAGTCGTGCGCCCAGTGGTCCTGTTAAGGTCACGGTGACCACCCAGCCGCATGAACGGCCTCATGGAGGTGTCAACCTCATTAGTGGGGTCTCAGCACTCCTGGCGTCAGCAAAATTGCGCCTTGCTTTCTTACTCCTCAAGGAGGTGCACCGCCACCTCCGCAGGAAGTGACAATACCATGCCTCACTAGAGAAGGCCCTGGGCTACAGCGAGACCTGCGCACCAGGACGCTTCAGGCAGTCCGGTTTGCTGATAAGAAGGCCCCGGGGCTCAGCCTTGAGATAGACGAAGATTTTCAGGCTTCTCAGTGTTTCACTGAAGTGATCCGCGGCTATCGGCTTGGTGTTATAGAACCAGCCACTATGCATGGTTTTAAACCAACCGGTCCCATTCGAGTTACCCTGGAAGTCATCACTCCGTCTCAGGGTGGAATCACCCCAGAACAGTGGAAACAGACTGCCACGTTGTGTCCCCTTGATTGGCCCACCAACTATAGCCTTTTACGGCTCTGGCACCATACCAAGAGTCTGCTCCAATTTGCTGACCTCTTGAGCAAGCAGTTGGACCATCGCCACATGTTTTCGCAATGGTCAGTGGATCTTGAAACGCTAGCAGACAGAGTCATGTTTCAGCAACCTGCGAATTATTTCTCTGACATAGCGCTGCAAGAACACTGGCGGGACCTTGAATTCCCCAGCAGGAAACTAAGGCGTCGTCCAACGAAAGCTGATGTTGTAGAAAATCAAAACCGATTTTTTTGCCAAAAGTTTACGCGCAGTTACTTAACACAAAACGAAAACGCAAGGTTCACGAAGTGTCAAAACCAATGGCCTCACTCAGTCTGATCCCTTTTCCGTCTGCACTCCACAGTCTGTCCAGCAGCAGGTTAGCAGTTACACACGGTCACCACAAACCAAAACAAGGACGTGAGGTGTCATATACTAACTCTTCACAGTTTCACAAGGTTTCACCTTGAGCCATGTGTTTAAAGGTTGAGTTAGTTCCAAAAACTGTTTCCTTTCTCTTTCTATTTCTTCTTCCACAAACAAGAGGCAGACAACACACACCCAATGGATGTGTTTGCCCCCTTCAGACGTCAGTCTCTCAACACGGTTGAGTTAAGACGTAGCTCGAAGCTACCTGAATGACTGACATGTGTCATGATTAGGAGACAAAACAACATCCAATAGAGCGATGAAGTCGCCACCTGCCAAAGGTCACAGGAAACAAACATTGACACCCTCAAACTGCAACACTTCAGTCCACACTGCCGTTCAGACTATTTTGGTTCCACCGAAATCGTGAGTTCAAACTCGTTTGGTCAAAACAAAATAGGTCACGAATTCTGCTTGCCAAAAACTGATTCCAGCAACTTCACGTTGTCAATGAAAAACCAACCTACTTTGTTCAAAACTTGCAACCTGTACTCAAGGCATCGGAAAGTATCGACTCCGGCCAGTTTGGTCTCAAACAACATAAAACTAGGATTCCACGTTGTAGTTCCTCAACTGCAACATCCAAATTCACAAGCTCGTAGATTGCTCGGAGGTCATGGTTGTAAAAACCATGACATCCCAAATTCACAATTCTCCCAAACATGCAAATGTTCCGATCAAAACGGATCATCACGGTTTATCAACCCTGATGTCACAGATTCACGAAATCAGAAAATTGCACAGATGTCACAGAATCACGAGATCACAAAATTGCATATATTCCAATGTCATAGTTGGAACAACTATGACACTGTCCAATAACAAATTCAGATCGTTGATGGTAATCTCACCAACCATGTCAATGCACCAAATTGACTGCAACGTCATTGTCAATGTCTCACGACTGCAACGATGACTGCAACAACTACAAATTCATCTCGCACCAAATTGGTCAATATCAGCCCAGAATATTCGCACCCCCTTTCGAGATGAATGAAGATGGATCAATCCCAGACTCATAGAACTCAGCACGAGCAGTTGTATTCACATTATTCACAAAATCATCCTCGAATGATTGCTCCAATAGACGAAGTCCAAAGATGCAGCCGCGCCAGAATGAAAGTAGATATAGTGCTCCAACATAGACTCCCATAGAAGTCGAAGAATCGTCTCCCACCACAATCCAGCTAGACATACATATAGAACACCGTTCCAGTCAATGAAGGTTCATCTACCAGTTCAGTATCCAGAGGTACATAGACCACAAGATTCCATGGCTTCGCACGGATGCGAATGGTCTCAAAAGTATCTTTACACACACACACAAGCAGGCAAGCAAAGCAGGACAGATTGTTTCACACAAACGTCCAGGTACAACAGCTGACTAAGGACCACGGTCCAGACTATCGTAAAGGTTGACAATCCTCACACGGTCGAATCAACCTCATACCTCTATGCCTGACAGTCGCAGGGCAGGTGAAACGGTCACTGCATTAGCTCTGGCTAAAACATGGTGGCAAGTCTGAGTGTGATACTTTTCACCAGCTGCCGGAAAAATCACAAACTCCAAAGAACTTGGACCCTCCCGTAAGCTATCATTGGTCATCACAGAGCGATCCACACCAGCCCCCTTTCGAGGTTTCAACCAACACAGCCATACGTGCAACCACCGGTGACACAACCGCTCAAGAAAGTGAGCACAAGTATGCACACAACCACAGTCTCAAACCCTACAGGTTCGCTCAGTCCAGAGTCAGTGGCATTCATACTTAGCTGCAACAACGTAGTGAAACTACCTCGAAGCCAAAATTCCCTTAAGGATCTTGCTGGCTAAGGTCCGATTATACAGTCCAGTCTGAATCAAATCAACTGTACTGAAAGGAGCATGTGAAGCACAAAAACAGTCTTTGAATTGTGCCATGTAACTTGCGAAACCCTGTTTATTTGAAACAAACTTCAGTCGTTTCCCTATGGGAAGACCCTGGCTGGATACATATCCCACTCTGCAAAGTGCAACAAGACCCTCGTGTGTGAGTTTCATCGTTTTCAAACGTTTCTCAACACCGTCACACTTCCACAAGCTATTGCGCACTGGCCATTCTAATGACATTCCATCTGCAATCTTCTCATACTCTGGCCCAGAGAGACTCTGGCAATCGCTTCACGATTTCTTCCATCTCTGCAAAACGAAAGTCATAGTTTCCATTCCCACTAAGATTTCTTATGGGTGAACCAGCAGTACATGGACAACTTGCGTGCATGTGGACATGT